TACCTATTCTTTTTTACTGCTCACTCTTATTCCTTCCTTCCTGGATTGCTTAAATAGACTATGTCATAATTCGTAGAACCCAGAAGACTGTCAGTAAGGTGAATGGTATCCCATTGTGTCATATCGTTGAAATTGTCATTGACAGGCACTTGATTTCATGCGACAAATCTGCTAAAGGAATTTTGTCAGAATGTCAGCATCCACAGCAGCTCCCGCAGCTTCAACCTTGTTTCTCCTCAGGTAAAACAAGAAGTCAGATCAGAAGACTTTGTGCACGTATGTCTAAGCATAAAAATTCCACTATACCATATTTGACGGCACGTACTTTATGTGATGAAAATAGCGTTAGGCACGAAATAGCTAACCTTCTTTACACAATTAAATAAACCATTTCCTCCACCCTAAAAACATCAACCTTTATTGTTAGTGCGCTTCTTATATTTATAATCCTCTCAATTTTGTGTTTTTATTTGTTTATTCTTTCATAAGTGTGAACATCATTTAAGCTGTGTTATAACTGTTAGTTTTGTATTTCCCCTCACCATACTGCATCAACAGAACATTACATTCAATACTCTATAACATGCTGAAATGTCCAAACTGAATCGACAATACTGTATTATCATTATTATTACTGTATTTATTATTCTCAATTCGTACTTAGAATATTTTTGATTTTATTTCGCAAATGTGGACAAGCTCCTCTGGTTAAAGTTGTTTTAATTTTTATTCTATCTGTGTTTTGAGTAAATCAATAGCTATTTTGTGACAAATGCTGTATTTGGAATACAACAGATTATTATTATTATTACCCTGCGTTGCATATAAACAAACAATCACATGTGAAATCCATACAAATTACGATAATTGCGACAAAAGTCATTTCATGTGGAGCGGAATCAATTTGAGATCTCTCAATATGTGTAATTGTGTCGGTAATAATCAATGAAATCGAAATATTTATGTGAAAATACATGTGAATATTCTCAAAGCAGTGAATGTCGAAACAAGTAGCTACAACCAGTAAGTAGATTTCAGCTACATCTCACTTCTTAGTTGCTCACCTAAGGAGGAGTACTCATGTGATGATTTTCATTCTGACTTTGATCATATCCAGTTTACTTTTCGTTACTCGATAGACGCATACCAAAATGAATATTTTAGTTCATTAGTTAATGAAATTAGTTATTTTGAAAAATGCTCAGCTGTGGTATCACGTAGAGTCACACACAACTAAACATTTCCATGCGATAAAGTGCTGCTAATCATATTCCATAAAACAGTGTGGAGGTGGAGATTGAAACCTGACGCTTTATTCAACTAATCAACCGAGAACTGGCTCAATACGATTGACTCGACACCTATCCGAGACATCTGGAGAATTCTATTAACCAACCTTACAAGAAACCGGGTAGAAGACAGTGAGAATATACAAATCGAGTTTCGAAGTCATGTGGTCAAATGTGACATGTTTGAAACGTCACTCAGTCGATGAAACTATTCCACTTTGTGATACATCCAATAATCAAACTAGGGTGAGATGACTAACTCGAATAACTAAAAATACTCCGATTTGCAGGGGATGTTCTGAACAAGTTCACAAGCGGATTGCATATTAGGGAGGAGGGGATCATTTCATATGATTTCATATGATACAAGCACATTCGAACATTTTAACTTGTCCGACTTAGTAGAAGTCTGATCCCACTGATATCATCCTTATATCTCTGCAATATCCTGTCTCCAGCCAAAAGAATTCACATAGACACATTGCGAACATCTTCATTGGCCTGAGTCATTCATTGTCAAACACAACATTTATCGTTCATGGTGTCGCACACACACACACACACACAAGAGACTACTCATATCATGTGTAACACTTCATTGAGTTCGAAAGCCTACAAAATATCACTAATGAATTATTATTCGTATGCCCAACTGATTGGTGAACCTTTCAAGCATATGTATTCAGGTGACGCATTCGCGCTCCACTGAAACCTTTCACAACTATGTATCTCTCTTCCAAAATTATATGAAAGTGTGAGTCTCTGAACAGACCATATATCTCTGACAACGTAGATCGATCGTCGCACTCACTTATGCTTGTGGTATGCTAGGCTGAAAATTGGATGACCGCTCTCACATTAAAATGTAATCACTGACAAGGTATTTATTGTATTCAGAAAGGGTAAATCGTTTTTTGACCACTGTATTACTCCTCTTCTTCTTCCTCGCCTTCTCAGAAATGTTGAAGTGTAGAGTCAGTTTGAAAAACAGTGATATATATTTATAAATGTGCATTTGATGGTGTTGATGTTTACAGGTATATTTTGTTTGTTTTTCTTATTACAGAATACGAATATCAATTATCTACATATCGTCATGAAGGGGAACTAGAAATCACAAAAATCAGAATAAAACTAAAGATGACTACAGAGTGACATCGTCGTATTCAACTGTCTACCAAAAAAGATAAGCTGGAAGAAGAATTTTACAAATTAGGCGTGTTATTTGTTTCATTGAAGAAATATGCTAAATTACTTTCGAGTAGGACGAACAAGCTGATCGTACAAAGCCAGATGATGAACGCTGTGGTAAATTCTAGGGCAATGCAATCAATCCACCAAGTGATGTCTTCGTCATTATTGACATAGGTGAACAATAACTACAATGTAGAGAAAGAGAAAGATTATTGACAGAGATGAGTGAATACAGGCGATCATCTCAAATGTACAGCAATTCAAATTAATTATAATTATCTAGCCAATGTGATAGGACTGTTTTCATATGATGAAATATAGACACCTGAATCAATAAAGAATTATTTACACATTCACTGTCGGCTTTCAGATCATACATGAGCAGATGTCTGCTTGTTTTCAATATTGTAGTGAGAATTCAGTTCACACCTAAAAGAAGATTATAGATTCAGAATGATGGGTCAAGTGTGTCATTATTCATTTTATGATTTGTCAGTCTCAAATGCCCAGTGAAGTTGTTGGAAATCCCTAAATGTAAGTGCATATGCCTGGTGAGGGATATATTGACAAATAGCATCCAATCTAAATAATACAAGCTGTTTAATAATCCAGCCATTTCCCACACACACAACACGAATTCATATACGACAATCACAAGGAGCGAGTTATCGTATTACTAACGACTCGCATAAATTCGAATCGTGATTACTACACTCCAGTGAAAAGCAGGACTTTACCATAATTTCAATGATTTAGAAATCCGTCAAGTGCAACAGTGTACAAAATCATCTACTCTGGAAATACACTCTCAAATATCGTGGATAGGTTCACGTGCCTCGTGATGTAATATGAACACAAATCGACTCAGCGATACTGTGATTCACATTGAAATTCTGCGACTATCAAATAACTGATGTGATTCGTGTAATTTACTCGTCAAAATAAACATGGTTGATACAACGATAAAATGACAAACTTACGAAGAGTATGAATAATGCACAGAAAAATACCACCAGAGCTAAAATTATCTGCGTGGAAAATACGAGGAGAAATGAATAAATCATGAGGGAAGAGGTACACTCAAACTTTGTTAATCTATGCAAATTACAACATTGACATATCTACTGATCTGAGATCTGTGGACATTGACTATTATCGAAACATGCTGACAGTTGAATCACACCTGTCAGTGACACTGCCTGTATGTAGTGTGGCTGAAATATGCGAATGTATGTCATTCACTCAATATCAACAACTACTGCATCACTTCACATTTCTTATCTGACAACAGAAATGTGATTATTCACTAGGCCAATTCGACTACAGTCGCATCTCTGTTAGTGAAATATATATTCCGTGGAATGTGACAGTCACACCAGTGAATTGTTACCAAACAAGCCATATTCCATACGTATACGTGACAAAGAAATTGACTTTACACGAGGTTAGCTGCTAATGTACCGAACTGCTAAGCACTCTTCCAATCAAAATATAGAATTTGAAGAGACAGCATGAACGACAAGTTTATCAGGATGAAATGATACCATTCTTTATCATTTCACGCCTTACACCCAGCTGGCTGAAATCAGATCCATCCAACAATATGGAATACACGTAATATTTCATGTAGGTTCGAGGCGATGATAAGTAGGAGTGTTATTTTCTCAGAAGGATGTAAGCTGTCGAATATGCGCAACAGTCAAGAGTGTTGACTATTCATAGGATGACCAGTGGAATATTCTATAAAAGAAATTCACTGTAAGCTGTTTCGAATGAAAACAATATTTGACATGCATGAAATTGAAGATGCAATCGGTTACCTAACTAGTGGGCAGGATAGTCGAAGGTCTACCACTGTCTCTTTCTGCTCACATAGTTTTGATTTGAATCGTTTAGTGGAGACTGCCTGAGGAAATCGGAGCAATGCAGGTTTCCGCTGGCAGGCTTCTCTTAATATTCTCGCAATATAAATATCATCATTCGAGAAATTCGTCACTGATACTCCTATCAATTGTTCCTTGTCACCGCACTAGGATTATGCTGAAATCTTCCATGTGATTTATAATTTCGTACTGTTGAGGCTGTAGCCAACAGAGAGGAGACTGTTAAATGGTGGCAGCAAAGTTAGTCTTAGTGTGAACAGTGTTCAAATAATGCACAGATGTTTCAGTGGAAAGCATCGCATAATAGTTTCCACTTGTCCAGGATCTTTATATACAGTAATAAGTGACAGTAGATCGTGCGACACATATCTGTCTGGGTTAAAGCGCAAACCAATTCCTTATCAAATCTCTTACTCGTTTCATTCACGAAATGACGTCGTCTCATCATCTAATACTTGCTGTCCCTGCTTCGCTCTTCCTCCTGGAAAGAATCAAATGAGATTCCAAAGTGTGGAATCAATACTGGGATTCGTATGCAGTCGGATATTTCTGAATGAAGCGGAGATTTCATAAGTTTTGACAAATAACTTATGCAAATAATTCATGCAATAAAAGTATTAATTCACACATTTACATCTTGCTTGGAGAACACATAGATAGCGCTCAAGACGAGTACCACTATAGCTAACGTTGATGTAACCGTGCCAAACACTATCACCCCCAACGGATTCAATCGAGGCATGAGCATAGCCAACGCAACTATTGGAATTTCCAACACAAGTATACAGGCCAGAGATATGAGTCCAGCTTTCAGTCCAACAGGTGACAAAAAAGCAGCGAATCCAACAGACCACAGCACAATCTATGACAAAGGAGAAAGCGAAATGAGAACATGTGATCACACTGGATATATGCATATACATATATAAACACACATATTTACAATGAATACTGAAAATGCAGTGAATGCTCAATCCTGCATGAACAAACAGATAAGCCACATTCTCATCACTCACAATCAATCGCAAATAAACAATTCTCTCGAAGTCACTGTCATTCTGTGAACTGTGGATCATCCTATACATGTTGACAAGAGTTACCTCTGCAAACTGCAGTTAGCTGCACTGGCCGACTAATTACCGCCTGACAACTAGAATGACTACTCCTACAACAGTTGAAAATATTTTGACCTCATCATCCATCGTTGAGGATGAATACGATGAATTCTAATGAAGTTCTTTCTTGTCAAATAGAATCAAAGTCTGAATTTCGCAGCTGCTATTCCCTGTCCCTCTCTTGGGTGGGACACGTCAACTGGAGAGTCACCAGAGATGTCCAAAACATGTCCATCAACGTGTTAATATCACTTCAGTTCAGAAAACGCTTCATCTGATTTCTCACGAAGCTGTTTATTCATTAAACTGTTTGAATGAAGTAAACTGTCGATTGTCTTATCCCAGGTCATGTTGAATCAACTTCTCGACACCTACAGTTGATTGATTCCTTCAAGTTGTCCCTCCAGTATACACTTTATGCTAATGCAACAGGTGGATTTACGTTTCCACATTTACGAGTTTCTAAGATACAACTTGTCTCAGCTTTCAGGTCCTTTCTCATGCGCAAGTAGTGAAACCACGCAATCATTGTCACATCGCCAATAAGTGAAATAATGAAAGTGGTGTGTAATGTGAATCACAGGGATGATCACTTTGACGAGGTATTCGTGGGTGAAGACACTTTCAAATTGCACCACAAACGACATTCCTTAAGTTAAAAACAAGTTAGTCTAAATCCCCACAATTTTTTGCAGGGTTACAAAAATGACACTTACTACAATTGAAAACACGACATAGACACCAATTGGTCGTGATCGAATTCTCGACACGAATACGAAGAGAAGTAACACAAGGAGACCGACTCCTCTGAAATGAATTCACAAACATCAACAATTCGTTTCAGATATTACATAGTTAATCGGAATTGTGCGTTATTTTGGTTAGTGCATCACAGTTCATAATAATCGAATATTCATGAGTTGCATTTACAACAGAAATGGTTTTCAGTGTGACGATCTCTGTATGTGGATGCCATTCTTCAGTTGCGACGTCAGACGCTTCCTTCGCACGGTGCTTCATGAAATCACTCGTTCATTTTCACGGTCGGCGGAAATCTCTGATTTGATGATATAGTAAATCTCACCGCTTTCTGAGCAACGGAAAACATAAATGCTACGGTACTTGGCTCAATCTTTTTCCTGAGTCGACAAATGAGTGAAAACAACTCGTCGCATGTGGTTTAGAAATGACATGGGAAAATGAAAGCAAGTCAGAGGAGACTGCTGTAATTGAAATTTTCCCTTTCTCAAGAGCCCTTGAAATGAGGATAATTTAACTTAAGATTAGACAAAGCAACTTTAATTGGGGTTGTGGTGGAATCGAAAATATTTCATGATTGGTAGAAGGGAAGTTGTTCTTATGAGGAAGGAGTAACACAAATGACAAAATTGCAACTGAATTGTTTAGTATTCTATACAAACTATGATGAATATTTGACTGGATATTAGTCGCCGAAAACAAAACAGAACTCAGATAAATTATTTCAACCTCATCAGGAAGAGAAAATATTCACCGAAAACCGTAGCACTCAACTCTGCGAAATAGATGACAAGACAGAGTAAAGGGCCAGTTTGCATACATTAAAAGCTGAAACAAGCTAAATATTCCAGTTCATAAACGAGGAAATCGAAATGTCACTGCAGAGATAACCTGCACCAAAATGTTTCCATCAGTGTAGATTTTATGAATTTCAAAATATTTACAAACCAGATGTTCTATAACGTCTATCTGTATAACCTACTAAATCTCTAACACACAATGCTTTAACATACACTCCTTGAATACCGAATGTATATGAAATGCAAGCCGTATATTGAGTACAGAATATGTATGAATCTGAGAGCAGAACTGCATCAATTTTTGTTGAATGAGATGAAATATTTCCAAGTCTTCGTCATTCACCATTTTCAGACAGTGGACTATGCGGTCGATGTCGTTCAGGCACAGGAGAAATTATGAATTCACTAGAAGCGTGTTCAGATCAAACAGTGTTCAAATATAGAGGAGATATCCCCACGTGAAACAGATAGTATTGTTATGGAACAAACAGTATTGCCATCACTGACCAATCTGTGCATCCACTCATTCAAAACAGCTGCAATTGTGAGATGCTCTGATCGTCCGAGATATGTAGATAACACATTTGGACATCATTAAATGTAGAGTCCTAGATGAAAATCTTCGCCTGATGAACAACATACCCAATAGTGTTGAGCTCTGCAAATATGTGGAACACTATTCGCATAATTTGATGTATTTTAACTGGTTTGTCGGACGACAACCAGATGATAGACGAAAACTTAATATCCTCAGAAAGTCAAGACATTCGGACAGATAGCCTTATTATCATTGTCATTATTATTCGGCGAATCTCTTTATCACCAAAGTGACTGTTCTTAAGACCCGAATTTACTTGGCTGAACAACTATTACCTCGAGTCGAAGTAAGCCACAGAAGGTTGAAATTGGTTGTAAACTGACTAAGGTTGATCCACTGTCCAGTTGTTAGTAGACCGACGGACGCGGAAAGTGTAAACTAACAACTCCTCCATGGTTGTTTATATATAAACTTGGTCCTGTGTGGCTAGTTCTACTGACCGTCAAAATAAACACAAAACTTTCCAGTGCATGTCTGAACATAATCAGACATGGTTATCAAGATGAGACAACGATTCACTAAGATCAAAGCAAATGATCAAATATATAGACACTGAGAAGACATTTATTGCGTACACTATTTCTGGAAAGCGTTTCACAGAACATTAGTAACACAGAAGTCTTCAGTAGTCATGGACATCACAATAATCAATATCATGTGTCAAGAATCCAACTAAAGTTTCGTCATGAATATTATTCATATGGTGACATGATGCAAACCATTTGTCAAGATTTTATTCGATAATTTCGCTAAAACTTTTGATCAGCTAATATCTCAAAGTAAGAGGAAGTCATTTTTGTGGAAATAATAATTGACAAATAATTCCCACACCTCACTCGACAGATTGGAAATAGTGGAAGATACAACATCTAAACTATAAATAAAAGGGTGCATCTGGGCCTTAATATCGCTGACATAATCAGTACAAGCAGTTCCATGAAAGGTCTATTTTCGAAGAAATTCACTTTCTCAAGCTGCACAATAGAATTCAGCAAGGTTCTGAACAGTGACAAAGGGAAGAATCACAACACACATCCACAGTTGCCATTAGTATTCAATGGAAATGAGAAGTTGAATATAGTAGGTAGAATTATACAATAATAACAAGTCTATATTTCAGACAATATGCGAAAACAGAGTGCAGAAATTTTTCGGTGTTCCGAAATATTTTATCTTCCTACAGGATTTCCATGTTGAGTGATAATCTGAAGTATGTCGTGTGATATAGCGTTGTTCCATAGAAAGAGAACACCAACTGTGTACATTTTTGTGCATTCATTTCCTCAGTGAAATGAGCAACCTTCCGTTGAAATCTAACTCAATATGTGGGCGAGTACATGTAGTGATCATCTGATACAATTGCATGATCATAGCAATCAGAAATGCTGTAGCAATTTGGCATTTCAGTGGATGGAAACTCTGGTAGACCATCGATTTCAGCAGGTCAGCTTTATGAAAAGGTGGGATATATAATTTAACAGGTTATTTTATTCAGGATGCATATAGAAAAACAAAGAGAATTTCATGTTACCTAGGAGTTCTGGAGGAGAAGTGAGTCAGAAACGGTCAAGTGAATGAAGTAATCAAACATATTTAACTGAAAACAATAGGATTCGCATTGAACGATGCATATATTTGGCTCCGCAAGAACAGGTGAACTGAAGTATGCAAGTAGAAGTGGTCAGATGTGAGATCTTGTCCATAAGGCTCCTCCACACCAGTAGCTAACTGACGAACACCACTCTTAGCGTTTCTGTGAAAAAAGTTCTCCCTGCTGAAACCGAAATTCCTCTCTTAAGAACTTCACCAATTAGGCTACCGACAAAGTCAAAGTTCATCTAAAACGTTCATTTCTTGCACGGATTACTTGTTAGGCTTTTGAATTTTTGGCTTGACATTCTCGACAATAAGACTCGATGTATGTCCGTTTTGAGAGATTTCTTTCTGAAAAGTCTAATTCATCTTGCAGAGCATTTGAGCTACAGATGTGTGTGACGCGAGTGGGTAGAGAAATACTTTGCCTCAATTCACGTTCATTTGGTATTCAGCTGTAGAAACTTATCAGTTGGCCGCTCAATGTGATTCTCTTATTGATCTATCTTCCTCAAGACCCGTAGGCTCTTCGTGTAAATTCAACCTCATGAAAAGGCATTGAAGATTCATCTTCTACTGAAACAGTGAGCCTTGTCGGTGGATTACAGCTGTTGAACGTGTGTAACACTAGTAATTGTGATCATGACTATCATCAGGGTTAATAAAAATGTCATCCACATATCTAGGACATAATTGAAACCTATCAATATTTAACTTACGTGGACCATTCCTGTGACTTGTCATGAAACAGGCTGCTAGCAACGAACCCATGTGAGATCTCATTGAAATCCAATAATTTTGTCTGTGAAAGATGTCGTTGGCCGTGAATGGAACATAGTATTTCCTTTGTTTCCATGTGCATGCATATCAAAATTTACATAGTAAATTTTCTCATCTCAATAGGTATTTCTGTCGACCTTATTCAACTTCTTATATGCACTCATTAATATTACCAACCATCTTGTGACGATTCTTCCATTTGTTAACGTTCAGTTTA